GTTGGGTAGAGTAGTAATGAATATAAATTAAAGCCAGATGTCTGGACAGACGTTTTGTTGACTTTTGTAACATGGCACCTGTTTATACTGATATGAGTATCATGTATCCTTCAACAGGACATGTGTCCTTATTATATTAATTCAGGAGACTTAATAAGTTTATGAGACAATCACATCTTGCACCACTTTTATAAACAATGAACTAAGGATACTTTATTTCTTTAGCTCAGGGGTCCCTAACCTTTTTGACCCTGTGGACACCTTTGGCATTCTTACACAGCGTGGTGGGCACAACCACAAAATGGCTGTTGCAGGGGCAGAGGCACACACACAGAGAAAGCCCAAGTACATGGGAGAAGAGATAAAATTTAAAAAGAAATTGGGAAAGAGAAATGAGGAAGAATAAAACCAACACTGGTGGCAACTGCTGCTTCAAAAACATTATTTTAATCAGATTTCCAGAAGCCTTGCTGAGCAAGAGTCCCACCTGATCCCACCCACTTTCTAAAACTACTTTATGGGTGCCAAGAAAGGTATGGGTGGATGCCATGATTCTCACAGGCCCTGTGTTGGGGACCCTGTGATGGAATTAAAGATTTGAGAACAGCAGCAGGTAAACAAAGGAGCTGCTGGGTCATGTGACTGAGAGTGATGGGGGCCAATTGGCTCGGAACTCTCAGTGAGTGACAGATAACCGTGAACAGCTGACAGTTGAGAGCTGACAGTTGGGCAGAGACAGTTGGAAGAAAGTTGGTAGTTGGCTAACTGGAGAGCTCTGAAGAGGACATAAGCCTCTGGGCTCAGTGGAATCAGCCGGAAAGCAGTTTGTGTGGAAAATTGTGGCTGAATAGTGCTCTGCACTGGTACCCTCTGATGTAAAGAGGAGAGTGAACAGAGAGTGCACAGTATAAAACTTCAGTGGTCACAAACACCAGAGACACTGCTCCAAAGGAAGTGATAAAGGTGGCTAAGGAAGGGCTAAGGGTCTGGAGGAGTCTGGAGAGTTGGGGTAGTCGCACCAGTAAGACTCAAGGGACCAGGCAAATAAAGCCCAAAGGTTAACCCCAAAACAGTTACTGGAGAGTGGGATCATAGATGGGTATTGTGAACTAAAGAACATCTGAGTCAAACTGAGAGTGATAAGCATACAGCCTATGTAAAGACAAAGTAAATGTTTATTCTACAAAGTATCAAAATATCCTGTGTAATTATATCCCATCCCTCTGTTGAGTTTTCTGTGAAATAAAGAACTGTGCTGTTTGACTTTTACAAGCACTGGTGCCTGACTCTTTGAAAAAGAATTATACTGGGCAGTTGTCCTCAATACATCCCAAAGTTATAAATACAAACCCCGAAGAGACTACTTTTAAGTGTGAACTGGTCAGCCATCAGAAAGCAGAACTGATCAGTCACATCACAGTAAAATAAACTGAACTTTTGTATATATAATATATACAATACAAATAAATATACACATAGGCAGTGATGCCACAGCTTGGTCACGGCCACGGACGGGGAGAGGTCATAGTGTTATAGACCCCTTCTTTAGCTGAGGCAGCTCCAGTTTTGAAACTGGTTCAGCAATCATGTGATTGCGTGTTTGTGTGAAATCATGATCACAGACTTGCTCTCTTCTAAT